GGGATTGTGGTGCAGTGAACTTGCTTTGTAAGTACTGTGTAAATATTTGACCTATGAGTGGTATCTAAGGGATTACTCCCATGCAGTGGAATGTATTTCAGTGCATTATGTAATTCATAATTTCCATGGTTTGCTCTCTAACAGAAAAGAAAAAAAAAACTGAGTGCCATCAAGTCTGTCCCAACTCATAGTGATCTATGGCAGTTTCTGAGGCAGTATCTCTACAGAAGTAGATTGCCCAGTCTTCCTTCCAAAGAGTGGCTAGTGGATTTGAACTGCCAGACTTCTGGTTAGTAGTCAAATGCCTTAGGCACTACACCAGCAGAACTCCTCTCTATGGATGTGGAAACCTACTTCTTAGTAACTGCAGTGTGGCCATTTTCCTTTCTACACTGTTAGAGAGGAAAGCCTGAGGCAAGGAACTCCACATTTTAAGTCATGTTAACTTTTACCAAAAGATATTCATGGAATTTAAAAGATAAGTCTAATGAATCCACTTGAGTAACAAAGTTCATTTGTGAAACAGATGAGGAAAACTGCAAATAAATCTCAAAATTGTAAGGATATTTGACACCATGTTACATAAAAAATAGAATAAAGAATTATTTATTAGTTCATAGAAGTTATGTACTACAGTTTATATAGACAAATCCTGTGCTGTCTGACCCTGAATACCAAAACTTAAATCAACAAAATAGAAGAAAGGCAAATTAAGAGCCTAATCCAAGAAAAAAAACAGTGTAATGATTATATATAAAAATGCAGAGTATTAATGGTGAGAAAAAAACAAATTCTTCTGTCATGAGAATGTTCTAACAAATTCAAATGACTGCTGTTTAACAATACTAGAATTTTCATTTTCCATGTTGGAGACCTGGGTTTGAATTTCAGCCAATAGACCTTACATGCAATCCCCACCTTCATGTCAGTGGAGGCTTGGGTGTTATTATGGCTCTGAACATGTTTCATTTAGATCTTCCAGACTAAAGTGGACTAGAAAGAAAGGCTTGTGATTTGCTTTCAAAAAATCAGTCAATAAATCAACATCCAAAAATCAGTTAGATTCCTCTACACCAGCAAAGAGATTGCTGAAAAAGAAATAAGGAAATCAATACCGTTCTCAATAGCTACCAAAAAAATAAAATACTTGGGAATAA